AGTGGATAGAGCACCAGCCCTAGAAATCAGGAGGACCTGAGTTCAAATATGACCTCAGACACATAACACTCACTAGCTGTGTGACCCTGGGCAAGTCACTTAACCCCAACTGCCTCACCAAAAAAAAAAGGTCTTCTATCTTTCTGGGCTTGACAGAGCACCCCCATTGTCAAAGCATTGTCAAACAGGATAACTTCTGGTGGTTAAGATGGGTACATATAATACTTCAAGGAGAAATCTATAAATTATTGCTAATGACAAAAAAGTTCTGGGCAACAAGACATTAGGGGCATAGATGATGCTTTCATAACTGCTACTCGGAGGCCATAAGATGCTGTCTGAGAATGCAAATTTGACTTCTGGATCATGATTTAAAAATACTGGAATTGCAGGTCCTGATCCAGGATCGAGTATCTGGTACACATTGCCTCATAAGAATATATTTGTCTTGCAAGCCTAATCAAAAAAGCTTTATGAAACATGATACCCACCTCCTGATAGGTGACGGACTCAGAATACAGACTGAGACATCATATTTGGACGTGACCAATGCAGGAATTTGTTTTTCTTGACTATACATAACCTTTAACAAAAGTTTAATTTTTCTTGCTTTTTCAATGGAAAGAGGGTTGAGAGGGAGAAAATGTGAGTCTGAATATAAAACTTAATTTTTTAAAAAAGGGCTTTAAACTGAAAAGGAAGGATGGGGAGAAAACTGCCTAGGTACAGAGTACTATAGAGAGCAGGTACAATATGGAAAGGACAGCAATAGATGGACACACTCCGAAACTCCCAGAAAAGATCCAGGAAAGAAGTAAGCAAGAAAATCCATATTCTCAGATAGCTACACAAAAACACATAGGAGCGTGCAGCGTCCAGAGGGTTTGTTTGGGTTTGAGGTCCGCAGTGTCTGCCAAGGGTGCACGCAGGTGTCGGGGTGAGGAGGGCACGTGCTGCTAGGGTGGGGGACCAAACGATGTCAGGTTCACCGAGTGTCAGGCTGAGCAGTGTCATGGTCAGAGGGCGGTGTTAGGGCCATGGGGAGGTTCCCAGTGTCAGATGGGGGCATATGTGGTTTCAAGGTTGGGGGTCTATGATGTCAGGGTCAGCTCAAGGTGTCAGGGTCATGACGAAACATGCAGGATTCACTGGAGTAAAAATAATGACGGCTCCCACGCAGTGTTAGGGTCATGGGGCACACGTGGTATCAGGATACGGAGCGAACGCTGTGTTGGGGTCAAGGGGGCACGCGGCGGCAGGGTCACCATGGGGCCACACCCAAAATCCAGGTCACGTGGGCTCGAGGGAGGAACGGGGCGGGGGTCCCAGGGTGTGGGGTGGGTTTGGAGGTCTCTAAGTGAGGGACAAAGGGGCCTCTCTCCTCACCACCCCGAAGTCGGTCTCAGCACGGGCACGGAGCGCGTCAGTCCCCGGAGGGCGGCGGTTGCGAAGGTGGCCATTGGCCCGTGGACAGGCCCCCGAGTCGGGAACTCGCCGGCGCCGGAGCCAGGAAGGGCCGCGAGCTCTGAGCCGAAGAGGAGCTGAAGTACCTGCGCCCCCTGTCCGTTGGGCGGAGTGCCGCGAGCCGCGAAGGGAGGGACGGGCCCCGCCCCCTTTGGCCACCCGCCCCTTCCCTGCCTACTTAGGATCCTCCCTCTCCCTAGGCCCGCCTACCTCGCACCTGGCCTCTGGCACTGTCTCCAGTCCTTGGACCCCGCCCCATTTGCCCTCCAGGCCCTTCGCTATGGGCTCTGTTCAGCTGTTGGAGGCTTCTGGCGTCTCCAGAAAGCCCCCCAGCTCCCCAAGGGCTGTGGCCTTCTCCTTTCCTGCTGTCAGGGTCCCCGGAGCCCCTGGGACGTGGGTGTTGGGGGATCCTGCGGTCTGTGCCCCTGCTCAGATGTCCCGCCGGGAAAGTGGGCACCTGCCGGCTTTGCGCCACCAGGCCCCAAGGCATTGTGCAGCCAGCCAGGCGCCACCCGGGCCCCTCCCCTGCTCAGGTGTCACTGCGACACCGATGTGCCTCCCTCTGAGCTCCCTGAGTGCTCCCCTAGGCCTTCAGCGAGACACCTGGGTCCTCTGGTCTCTCGCTTGAGTTGGATGTAAATGAGGGGAAACGCAGCGGGAGGTGGGAGGGTTGGGGGGAGCCTGCCGGCTGTAGTGTCTACTGGCATTAAGAAAGAAGCTCAAGCAAGTCACCTTACAGCCCCTGGCCTCAGTTTCCCCAGCTATAAAATAATGTGACACCTGATCTTTAAGATGCTTTTCAGCTCAGAATCTTAAAAGGAAGGGGTGGGGGAGTGGATTGGGAAACGTATACACACATCTATGATCCAAGGGGATAGTAAGATAAGTGCAATGGAGAAGACTAAAAGGGGGAAATATGACTGCTGTCTCCAGAATAGGTCTAGCAATCATCTGGGAGGGAAGAACTAGGAATGAGTGGAAGTTGCAGGAAGACAATTTTGGGCTTGATTTAAGGAAATTTCTAACAATTATAACTATCCTAAAGGCAGAATGGTCTTCCTTAGAAGGCCAAGGATCCTCCTGTCTCATGGACAGTCTTTAGGCAAAGGCCTGTCATAACCACTTGTCATATGTGTTGTAATGGCCCTCTTATTTCTGGTTTGGGTCAGTGTTTTGCAGGTTACTAAGGGAAATAAAGTACCTTCTGACTTGAAATTCTGTGATTCAAAGAAACCCTAGCAAAGGGTTGATGTTGAGGGAGAGGTGACTTTCACCTTGGTTGGCAGTCTGGAAAAATCAGGGAAGGCTTCATGGAAGAGATGAAGCGTGAGTTAGGCCTTGAAGAGATTTAAGCAAAGGAAAAGGAAACAGTAACTGATTAACCAGTGCTGGGCCAGTTTTCAGATAAGATGTATGGGTCACTTGATATGTATAATTGTGAGAAAACTCCATCTATTAATCTTTGGATCTCATGGGTTTCTGGTCAACATAACCTAGGTCCTTTAAGCAACTTTAAGCAACAGGTAGAGGTGGTCCAACTTCCCAGCCACAGAGGGCTAGGTTCAAACAATGCAGTAAAGTTTTCTCACAAGACAAAAATTGGACTAGACCCGTAATTAAATAAAAAGAGAACTGAGCTAGCTCCAGAATTGAGTCACAAGATGGAATCAATGTGGTTCACTCAATTCCCACAATTCCTCCACATATTAGTTGCAAAACTATATTCATTATTTCCCTGTGAATCAGCTTAACTAATGGAGACATAGACAAATACAAAATATATACAGTGTAGATGGAAGGGCTGGAGAGAATAGTGTAAGGCTGGGATGATGGATTAAAGCAAGATTACAGAGGCCCACAGGAATTGAGGAATGTTAGAAGAGGGATGTTGATAGCCCAAACCAGGGGTGGGGAACCTCCCTCTGGTTAAGTTTGGATTCAATCAAAGGGCTGCACTTGAGGACCTAGGGAGCCACTTGTGGCCTCAAGGTCCCAGGTTCTCCAGACTCCAAACCCTTCATTTATAAGGATGAGGAAACTCAGGCACAAACAGATGAAGTTCATTGTCCAGGATTATAGAGTTAATCCATACAAAGTCAAGGAGATAGATAGAGCCAAGACACAAACTCAAGTCTTGTGATTTCCAATCCAGTGGTATTTCTAGTGTTATTAACACCAATGGAGAGCTACTAACGGTGAAAGCTTCTGAGTAAATAGGAGAGGTATATTGCATCAATTAGAAGCCCCTGTCTATCTCCTCATCATACCTCACCAGCACCTCATTTTAGACTGACTCAGTTCAGAATACTAGTAAAGCCTAAGGAAGGTCATGCCAAGGGTTTAGCCTCAGCCTCTTGGAAGATGAATTTTCATCCAGTCAGGGACTAGCAGTTACAAGGACAGCTGAGAGACTGAAGGCACCATCCAGCTCCTGGCAAAGGCCCCAGGAGCTGCTTGTAGTCAACACCAGCTCTGAGACCACTAACACCTCAAAGGCAAGTCCCATCAAAATGGTGTTGTCCAGGCTGTTAAAGCAGTAAGCACAAAAAGGGAAGGACTCAAGGAGAGGTTGAGTGTATGGAGACTGTGGGAAAGGAGCTGGGGACAGGGGCATAGGAGAGGGAAGGAGGGACCTGAACACCTGTAACCTGGCTCTGGGCCATGGCAGAAAGGGGACCTGGCTAATCCGATCAGTTTTCAGGTATTGAGTTCCCCAAGAAGCACCAGCTGTGGGAGGAGGGAAGGGGAGGGGCACTGGGCCAGGGCCATAGTCCTTTATTTTCTGTTACCAGCACCTGTCTTTATTGGGGCAAAAAATTGTCTCGTTTTTGCTTCCCAGCTCCTTGATAGGATTGCTTCTTGTTCTGTGCCAGTCTCCTGGTGAGGTATGAGACACTACTATTACTAGGGCTGTTACTATCCTAGTAATTGTTAATAGTAGTGGTACCGCAACAGGGCTGCTCATATCAGCTTCTGTTTCTGAAGTGATTCTTAAAGTATCTTCCCTATGACAGTCCTGAGGAATAAGTGGTACAAGTTTTATTATCTCTGTTTTAAAGAGGAGAGAACTCTTAGAATGGGAAAGGTAAATTTTAAGTTACGGAGCTAGAGAGTGTCATGATTAAGATTCAAACTCAGCTTTTCACACTCCAAGTCCCAAGCTCTTTCCACTATCACCATTGCCTCTCACTCTAGCAGTGCTTCTCAACATTGTCCCCTTCCCATTTCCCTGGCCCTAGTTCATATTTGCACTACTACCCCCACCTCCCACAATTTTCCACTCCCTTCTAAATAATACTTTGATTCTTCCCCTATCTCACCTTCTTTCCTTTGATCTAATTTCTAGTATTTCACCCTTATCCCCTCCCAGTTTGGGAAAGAGGAAAGTCCAAAGTAGTGACCTGCCCTCCCCTTCATTTAGTTGGGTTGAAAGCTCAGGGGAAAAGAAAAAAACTTTGGGGCGACTTCTTGAACAATGAAGATTTTCTGGCCAAGTTCCATTTTCTAGTTCTTCCCTGAACTTGTAATTCGGGTCAATGGCTGCAGAGTGTGGCAGTGTGGCCCTGGGACTTGAGAGGGCTGTGGCACCGGAACCTGTGGACAGAGGACTATGGACATGGTACAGAATTGGGGTCTGTCGCAAGGACATTTGCCGATAAACGGCTATGTGTGAGGGACTAGGGGCTGTGGAGAAGAATTAGGGGAAGTAATGGGGATGTGGAGGAAGGAGATGGGGTGGAACTGAGGAAATGACTGGGTGCAGAATTGATGCTGCAGGGGAGGGACTCGGGGCAGGAATCATACTGGGTCAAGTTGGGGACAAGATAAGGGCTGTAGAGACAAGACTGGGGGCTTACGGGGCACAACTGGGGCTATAGGGACAGTACTGGAGGCCGGGGGCGGCAGGATTGCAAGGACAGGACTAGGGGTCTCGAGACCGTGGAGGGTGAGGGCTTAGTAATGCTGCACCCTGGGGCTGCGCTGCTCCCAGCCCTTGAGTCCTCAAGGCCGGGGGCAACGGCACCACTCTCAGGCAGGGCGCCCCGCCCAATCCCGTCGGCGCCCTGGAACTTTCCCAACCGTCGGGGACTCGGCCGTTAGGGGGCGGCCCCGCACCCTGGGAGGGGGGGAGAGGAAGGAGGGATGGGGTGGGGAGGGAGGAAACCTTCCCTCCCTCTTTCCTTTCCTCCCTCCGCCCAGGCCCACGGCCCAGCAGCCCAAGCTCCGCCCTGGTGGCCTTGGGGAGGCGGGGCGGAGTCTAAAGGGAGGTAGGGCGAACTCTGATTGGCTGCGGCGGGTGCTCGCGGCGGGGGAGGGGGGCGGGGGCGGCGCCGATATAAAGGGCCCCGAGACTGGGGCGACCGAGACGGAGGAGTGCGCCCGGTGGCCCGCGTACGGAGGGGTCCGGCTCGCGACGCATTCGGGGAGGGGCGCGGCGCATCTCCGTACGCCTCCCCCCCCTTCCCTCTCCCCCGCCCCAGCTGGCTACCCGGCCGCACCGGAGGGGAAACTTCCCTCCCTGTGCCACGCGGGGCCTCGGCAGGTAAGAGGGCCCCGACCTAACCCCCCCTTCGGACCCCAGCCTGCCCCAGGGCTTGACTGTCCTGCAGTGCACCCACGCGAGAAATCGATCGCCCCAAGCCTGGGCCACCGCCCCGTACCCCTAGCGTGCCCTGCTGCCGCCTTCTCAGAGCCCCTTCCGTGTCAGCGGTCTATGGGACGGGTCCCAAGTCCAGCCCCTCTGCCGGACCCTCCCTAGAATGTGGGGTGCTCCCCCTGTCAGCCCGCTATTGCACAGGACCCCCCCCTCCGTGGGCTGACCCTGTCCCCCCGCTCCCCTCCAACACTAGCCTCTGAACCTGCCCCACCCCTTTGGTGCCCCCTCCGCACCCCTCCCGAGGCTGCTCGGAAGAAAGTCCCAGTGGACAAGGCAGCACCCCGGCCCCCACGGACTGGGCGGAGGGTTTCCCGGCCGAGTCTAGGGGGCAGGGGGAGGGCCGGCCAGCCCAGGTCGGAGCCTCCGGGCACTGCCATGTGGCCGCGGCCAGGAGGAAGCTGGCGGCTCTGAGCCGCAGGCTGCAGATGCCAGAGCTGACGGCGAGGAGCTCCCGGGGCCCCGGCTGTTCCGGCGAAAGGCAGCCCCGCCACCCGCAATGGTAGGAGAGGGAGGAGGCGGTGGCTAGAGCCTTCACGGGAGGGGGGCTGCCGTGTGGGGGGCTGAGGCTGGACATAGATGGTGGAGAGGAGACAACCGAGGTGCGCTGCCGACTGTTAGACAAGTGACCCAAATGGGGAGTCTTTGTGGCCCCTTCCCAGCGCCAACATCCTGTAATTCTGGATAGCCTAATTCTGGTTTTCCTTTGAAATGTACAAGTCTTCTGAAAGTTTCTTTTCTTTCTGACTGGCCCCACGAGAGTACAATGCTCCCAGCCAGAACTAACACATCTTAGCTTGGGAAGCAGGCAGTCAGGGATCCCCCCCTGGCGGGTCTTGCCAGTTACCTGGGGGAAGAAGCAGAATGTGCTCTTTCCAATAATTCTGGGGAATAGAGGCCATGCTGCTTATAGGGAGTGGGTGGATGTGTTCAAATTTCCCCCTAGGCCTTGGATTCCACACTCTCTCTGATTCCTGCTTCTTGGCTCCTCGGCTTCCCACAAGCATTTCCTCTTCTACTCTCTGTCACATCCTGCAGAGTTTGCAGCCCCAGGAGAATAGGGACTTTAAGAATCAAGGCAATAGGTTGGGCAAACCTAGGGTTGGGGTCAACAGGGCACAAGCTGGCCAAGGCCATAGCCTGACCTGATTAGCCTTTGGGCTTGCCTATTAATGACTGGGTTTTTCTAAGCCTGGGCAGGGAAGAGTTACTAGAAACTTTGTCCTGTGGGAAGCTGGAGGTGACAGTCACATAACAATTGGGAATCTGTAATTAGACCCTTCTTTAAAACATCTGATCTCAACAGGTTTCTCTCCTATTCTTCATGCTCCCCTCTCCCCACCATGGTACTCCAGACCCTGATTCAAGTTCAGAGAACTTCCTGCAGGCCCCAATAAGATGGGACACAACAGCCAGAAGAGAGTTGCTCTCTTAGGCTGCCCTAGCATCCTGAAGCATGATAGAGATCGAAGGATTAGAACTGGAAGAAATCTAGATGCTTACTTTCAATACATTCACTTTACAAATGAGGAAAGTGAAGGCCCAGAGAGATTGATTTGCTTTTAGAACCCAAACCTCTGACTCCAAATCTAGCTGTAGAATGCTGCCCTCCAATGGGCACCCTGGCATGACAGCTTGGGGTGCAGGCCTGTATTAGCACAGACCGAGGCCTGAGGCCCTGTTTTATAGCCAACTCTGAAAAGGGGAGGTTGGACATCTGACCCCCAGTATATCTCACATTTTATGAAACACTTTTCTCACAAGAGCCCAAAAAATGTAAATTGTATAAGCATTGTTACCCCTTTTTTACAGATAAAAATTTAATGTCTTAGCTGGGGTTCACCCAGGCTAGTCACTTCAGCTACCATGTTAAGTCTAGCATTATTTTCCACTATATAATTACTGTATGTCTTGATGGGAAAGGAATGAAGCACAAATATGACCTTTTCAACAGAGTTTGGTAGAAATTAGAGACAATATGAACGTACTGTGTGTTCTCAGGACTAGTACGCCGTCCACCTCACCCTGAGGTCTGCCCTCGGATAGACGAGGGGACTCCTCACGAGGTTCTCTGCTCTTCTGCTGCCAGTGGAAAGGCTGATGGGCACAGGGAAGTGTTACAGCCTGTAGAGCAGTCAAGATTAATAGGGGTAGATACCCTGGCTGGTAGAAAGGGAGAGTGTACTGCAAAGAGGATTGAAGTCAGTGAACAAGCCTTAATTTTTTAAGCACCCACCAGGTGTCAAGGACTGTGGGAGCTAGGCATTAAGGATACAAAAGGAAAAAAAAAAGCAGAATCTATCCCTAAGAACCTTGCAGGGGAAATAGTCTCTATACAGATAAATAAGCAGCTAGTATTTGTAAGGTAACTTAGGGTGGTGGTGGTGGTGGTGATTTTTGTGATCTAGGAGGAAGGTTGGAGGTCAGGGAAGTGCCTGTGGAGGAAGGGGCACCTGAGCTCACTGAGGGAAGGCAGGGAATCTCTAAGTAGTGGAGGAGCGGAAAGGAGGGCATTCCACGCATGGGGAACAAGGTTTGGATTTTGTATTAGGTAAGTCCTGTGTTCTGGGGCTCAGTTTCCTCAACATAAAATGAATTTAGGCTATGTGATCTCTAAGGTCCCTTCCTGTTCTGAATCCTGTGGTTGGCACAAGGAGGAAGATCTTTATTAGGGCAGAAAGGGCCAGCTTTGTATAGAAGCTTAGGTACTTCCCTGCCTCCTTCCTCTGCACCCCCATGGAGGCCCCTGGGGTTAGACATATGTAACTTAGTAGACCTAGTCTTCGGTTCCGTGGCTGGGCACAGAGTCCAAAAACAGTCTCCCAGGCTTCTGTCGCCCTTTCCCCTAGAATCCTGGGCTGCTGGTTCTGATGTCGAGTTCCAGAATGCCCACTGCAGCTAAAAGGAGGCTCCCCTCCACCTTTCCCTCCCTTCTCCCCCCTCCCCCCACCCCCAGGCTGATTCTGCCCTCAGTGGATTCACTTCCTCTCTTGTTGCAGCCCCAGGGCCTGGTTCCTTTCAGACAACCAAAACTCTGCACGGTCCTGGCTTCATTTCCTTCTTTATGGCTTCTCAAAGGTCCTCCTCCAAGCCAAGCAGTGACCAGAACCTGGGACTCAGTGGTTGGTGTCTCAATGTGGAAATAACCCACTGGATGGAGTCAGGTATTGAGTTTGATCCTGGCTCCAACATGTATTGGGTGACTTTGCCTGATGCCCCCTCCTGAGCCTGTCTGCAAATGAAGATCCTTTCTTTCCAGTTCCTCACAAGATCACTGTGAAGAACACTTATTGTAGAGCCTCAAGTGTTACCCTGGGACTCATAGGCTGGATCCAGCAGGATGGCCTTCTTTCAGGCCAGAGGAATGCCCATGTCCAGCCCCAAGACCTTGGGGGGCTGGGGGGTGTGGATGTTCCTGTTCGAAATGGTCTACCTCTTCAGAGGAGGCCCCTTACCTTATGTTTGGGGTGCAAGGTGAAGGGTGCTCTGTGGGGAGGGCCATTAAAGGAGTGGCAGCAGCCTCCTTGTGCTGGTAATAATCCCTAGGGGGAGAGTCTCTCCTGGCCTAATCCGGATTAAGGTTTGAGGCAGCTCGGATTTCCTGGCTCCCAAGGAGCCATTCTCCCTCTTTTAGGCCCCAGGTCCCAGGGGTAGCCTCCATCTTCCTGCCCCTCCTTCTCTAGTTCTCCCCACCCCTCCCCCCCATTGTTCCTGTAGCCACAGGTGACTGCTTTGTTTTCCTCCTGCTTTGGCTCAGTTTCACCAGGTGCCTCTTCCTTTATCTTCCTGGAGTTGCCTCAGCTGGAGTGGGAGAGAGAGAGTGAGAGAGAGAGAGAGAGAGAGAGAGAGAGAGAGAGAGAGAGAGAGAGAGAGAGAGTGTGTGTGTGCGTGTGTGCGTGTGTGCGCGCGCGCCAGGAGAGCTTTCTTCTCCTCGGAGCCTTCACTGCCATGGAGAATCCAGGCAGGGGCCAGGCCCATCTGTGCTATGTGGTAAGTGCTGGATCATGATGTGCTATGCCAGGGTCCTGGCCTCTCTGTCCTGGGGGGCCCCCAGGGGCTGAAATGTCACCAAGAGCTTGACAGCGGGCAACGGAATCCCAAAAGCAGCTGTTGTCTCCAGAGCATTCCAGCTGCAATTGGATTTCGTTCCCTGCTCTCCTGCCTGGGCACCTGTGGGATCTCCATCCCTCTCTGTCCTCCCGCTCTAGGGGGCCAAGGGCAGTCAGTGCTGGAGGAGAGTTGGCCTTTGGGGTACTGCTCCCAAGTCACTTCAATTTCTTTAGGATGGCAGATTCTTGTCTACCACAGCTGGGCTTCTCTCCTAGGCCAGCTCTCCCAGGGCCTGAAGCGCTGCTGCTGGGGCCTTGCTTGCCCTCTCATTGGCAACTTACAACTTGGAGTTGTATGCCAGAGGTGCACCTGGCCCACCTGCATTGGACCTCCAAGTGAGGACTAATTACTTGGGCAAACTGGGGAGGAAGACGGGGGCCAGCTAGAGAAAAGAGTACTTATGAACTAAATGGAAATTCTCAACGTATCTCTGTTGAACCCTCAACCTGGTATTTTTCCCATCGTCTTTTGTGGCAGGGGTTGTTTGTACCCCCAGCCCCATCCCCTTCCACTGAGATCAGGGCAGGTATCTCTCTCCCTGTGCAATAGTAAGGACAAGCTAGTCCTTACTTCCTCCTTCCCTCAGGGAGTTTCCTAAGGCAAGAAATGGGAAGAAGATACTAGCCTGTCCCAAGGAGGGGGAGGGGGAGAACAAGCTGCCCCATCGAAGAGGAGGGGACCCACTATTTTGGCACGGGGCCAGCTTCCTCTTTCTTCAGCTATTCCCACCCCTCTGGGGCCCCCAGGAACTCCAGCTGGGCCCCTGGAGCTGCCAGGCACTTGGGTGGAATGGAACAGGTAGCTGCTATTATACATTCTTTGGGCTATCTTAGACTGTGGAGGCAGAGGTGGAGAAGAGCCAGTTGCTGAGCCTGGCCTACTCTCCCGTGCAAGGAGATGCCCAGCTCCCTCATTCCCCTGAAGATGGGCCATTTGGCCCCCCCCCCGTTAAAGGGGCCCCAAGGCTTCTCTGCTTATTAAAGATAGTGTCTCACTTCCTGGGGAAAAAACACTCCAACTGTCTCAGGGTTCGGCAGCAGCAGTCCCCAGCTGCTGGCCTTGAAGTGGCTGTGACTACTGCCCAGCAGGCTGAGCTGTGGTGCTGAGGAGGGTGAACTTCCTGCGGGGCCCTTCCCCCAGCTTGAGGGGTAGGGTGGGAGGGAGTAACAACTCTTACAGCTGGAGGAGACCTAGCTAATAATAACTCCTAGTGGGATTGCCCTTTAAGGTTGACAGAGTGCTGTCCTCACCACAAACAACCCTGAAAGTATTAGTATCTCTTAGATTTCTGCCAAATTTGACATTTTCACACCACACCAGTTGAGATTCAAATTCAGCTCTTCTGTCTAGTAAAGTCTGTATGAGCCTACTGCCTGGGGAGGTCAGTTCTTGGGCTTAAAGTCTCTGGGGTTGTTTCCCATTTGTTAAATGAATATAATTTCCTAGCATACTCTGTACAGCTCAGTACAGTAAGTAGTTTAGGAAAATCGAACAGGGCCTCTTCTTTTGGGTGCCTCTCATAACCTGTCTATCAAAACCTGTCTGTTTTGTTAAAGCCCATAGGTTGAGACAGTGAATGATTGAGCTTGGCTGGCAGGAAAGGCAAGCCACCACAACAGTAACACTTCAGCAGGGCCCCTGGATGGCTCAACAGGAATGCAGCTGGCACAACCCTCAGCTTTCATGCCCTTCCCCGAGCAGGGGTCATCCCAGACCAATGTCACAAATTTGAGGTATTACAGACAGAAGTAATCAGAGCTTCTAAGAGCTCCTCCTTTGTCTTGACTCAGTGAAAATTGCTAGTCCTTTCTATTTGTAACTGTTTTGGGGGAAGAAGAGTTCCTCCAAAATACAGGTCTTTTACAATCCAGAGACTCCTGGACAGGACGAAACAAAGGAAGAGGGAGCCTTATGGCAAAAAGCAGGCATTGAAGGGAAGGGAGGGGCATGTGTGGGACTGCCATGGCCTGTGCCACTGGTTCTTCTGAAGGACTCTGAACTAGAAAGCGCTTTGGAATGACACGATCACTCCCGTTGAGCGGACAGCCAAGAAGCCATCGGGCATATCGTGTCTGTCCAATGCCCTTTCGGCGCCTCCTGAAGGGATTCCAAGAGTAGGTACTGACTGAGGACCTGTTGTAAGGAATGCCTCTTGCCCCTGGACCCACCCCCCTGAGGTGCATTGAATACTCAGCTGCCTGCAGTGGGTTTACCTTTCACTGTGCCTCTGAAGGTTTTGCAAAGGCCCTTTAGAAGAAGTCTTTGAGCAATCCTTCCTGCCTTCCCTTCTTCCTCCCCCCCCCACCCCAAGGATGAGAAGTTCAGATGGCAGATCCTGTCTGAGCTGCTCCCTCTGTGAACTTAGCAAACTGCTCCTTTCCCTTTTTCTTTTGAGGCCTGTGGAGGCCTCTCCTAGACAAGAGGGAATGGACTCTGGCAGAGAGGAAGGCAAGGTGGCCTATACCACTGGGCCGGATCTGAGCTGGCGGGTCTCTTCCTGTCACTGCAGACAGTCAGTAGTTGGTCTGGCGTGAGCAGGAATTCTCAGATCACCTCTTGGCTGTGAGTGGTGGAGAGAGCTCTGCACAGGGATAATGGGGGCCTAAGGAGTAGGCTCAGGAAGTGAAAAGAGAAGTGGGGTTGGAGGCAGGGTCTCTGGAAAACTGAGCACTCAGAAAGGAAACCACCACACCTTAGCCCTCAAATGAGGCTCTGTCGATCATCAGGGAGGCCTCAGAGGTGCTCTCCTACAACCACCTGAACATACCCTCAGACTGAAGACCTCAGTGACAGAGAACACTATTTATCCACTTTGGAACATCTCATTGTTAGGCTTTCCTTACACTGTGCCTAGATCGTTTCTCCTTGGCCTCCCCATGTGAGTGCCTTCCAAATACTTGACTGTAGAGGGTGTTGCCTGGACCCTCCCCCACACCAGTCTGATCTTCAGGCTAAAGAAATCCCCAGTTCCTCTCCATCTGGGTCAATGTTCTGGTTACTCAAGCTTCCTAAAAACATGTAACTCAGATGTGAAGGCCATACAGGATGTATGTCTCTGACTGGAACAGAGGATGACAGGCTTAACATTTTGATCCCTCATTTTTGAGTCTGCTCAGTATAACCTAAAACAACATTAGATGTTTGAAAGGCTGACAGATTAAAGCTAACTGTGGAGTGACAATTCAGGGACCTCATCTGTCACAAAAGTACCAACTATTCCTGAGGAGGCTCTCGGGGAGCAAATGCCAGTTTCTGACTCCCCAGCTTAGAGGATGTCTTCCTGTCCTCTGGGCTTATTTATTTATGAATCCACATTAGCTTTCCCTGGAGACCAGAGGGGGTTGTCTGTCACTCCTATTTGTGGAGTTCTTGTTTGAAGAAGGGAGGATATGATAGGGGAAAAATCCTGGGTTCATGTCCCAGAGTTACTTCTTAATACCTATGTGACCTCCTTGGTAAAGTCCTTTTCCCCTTCTAAGCCTCAGTTTCTTTGTCTACAAAGTGGGAGGCTACAAGAGTTGTGAAAAGTGCCTTCCTTTGTTGCAGCTGTGGGGAACTCTGGGTGTCAAACGTTTATACTATCATCGTGGTCAGTGTGTTTTACTTATCTTTTGTTTTTTTCTCTTTAGAATCTTTGTTAACCAGGGATGGCCTACTGGGTAGGAGAGGGATATAATACTATTTGGAAATGATGTAAAACTTTGTTGTTCAGTATCAGTCATGTCTGACTCTTCCACGACCCCATCTAGGGTTTTCGTGGCAAAGATACTGGAATGGTTTGCCATCTCCTTCTCCAGCTCATTTTCTAGATGAAGAAACTGAGGCAGAAGGCTTAAATAACTCACCCAGGTCACAGTCAGAGTTAAAATCTGCCTTCAGACATGTAGAAATCGTGTGACCCTGGGCAAGTCATATTGCCCTATTTGCCTCAGTTTCTTCATCTGTAAAATGAGCTGGAGAAGGAAATGGCAAATCACTTCGGTATCTTTGCCAAGAAAATCCCAAAAGGGCTGACAACTGAAACCATAAGAACAACTTGCTGACTCCAGGACTAACACTCCACTATGCCACCTTCTGCTCCAATGTCAAAATAAAAGGCATCAATAAAAGATTTTTTTTTAATGAGGAAGTTAGATGACATTATCTCTTCAGGCTTTTTCTAGCTCTAAATCACAGGATCACAAAAAGCCAGTTCAGTTCAACCCTTTCATTTTATATGTGAGGAAACAGGCCCTGACAGATTGTGACCCGTCCAAGGTTCACGAATGTAAGTAGCACAGCCAGGATTCAAATCCAGATTCTGCATTCGGAATGAATGCTTCAATATTAGAGACCCATGCTGGGTGTCTGGAATAGACCTTGGGGAATATGAAAAGCCATAAAACAGGGACCTAACACTGATACCGGG